AAAAAAAAATTGTAGATGTTAATTTTCTGCTTTTTTCCTAATTATGTTTTAGGTTAGTTAGGACGTTATCAGATGGGGAAGGTGGGCAAAGAGCACACTGGAGCTCTTATTTCTGCAACTTCTATGAGAATCTAAAATTAGTTCAAATAAACATCAGATAATAACACTAGCTAACTTTGCTGTTTATTCAACAATGCCACAAGGAAGTGTTTTCTGTTACAGAAGAAAGCAGTGAAAAATCTAAAAGCAGCTAAATCACAAAGTTATCTCATTTCAGTCACCAAATTGGACCCTTAACAATAATCAAAAAGAAATTTCTCTCCATTTATTAACAAGGCCATTGTTTGCAAAATATATTCTTCAGTTGTAGTTCTAAGACTGTTCTAAAGATTGTTAAAATATACCTACCTTGTGTATGCTCAGAATTAAGCCCAACATAAAATTTGAAAGGTTAAACAATCAACTCCAGTTTTCTATTCTTCTTCTAGGTTCTTTTTTGGGCACTCCTTAACTGTCTGTGTCTACTTCTAAATTAGCAATACAGTAACATGGATTACAAACTTTACTTTGGGAAACTGAAATTCTAGGACACTAGAGTCAACAAAATCATTAGAAAAAATAGAAACAGAGTAAGTTAAAGAATTTACCAACAAAATAACTACCAATACTTTCCAAACCAAAATAAAGCAAAAGGAAAGGCCAACACACAAACAACCCCCAACAGCTGTCATAAGGCAAACAAAACCCAATTCCCTTCAGGCTTTTGCTGCCATTCATTTGTATTCTTGTACTGAATTTAAGAAGTTGGAATTTCCAATAAGCAACCACTACTTTGTATTCATGATAGAACAAATTTACTACACTCGATGTATCTTATCTTGGGACAACAAATAATGAAAGTAGAAAGAATATTCATCTTTATTTAATTTCAACTATGTAATACAAAACTACTCATGACCAGAAAACAAACCTGCTATGAACTGTTTTGGCTGAGGCACATTTCCTTGCCCTTCTAGCTTTTCCCATCTCACAGCCTCTGGCTTTTTCATTTTAATTTCAATCTGGAGGGAAAAAAACAAAATCCATTATTCAAGTTAATATACACAAAACAGTGAAAAATTGCAATTTTTAAAGGCATCAAAATTCATAAGAATAATGTACCTGAGATAAATTCCTTACATTATACAAGATTAGATTTTAAGAATTTTCAGACACTTTGCTTCTACTTAGAAGTTATCCTTCAAAAATAACATATATATAAAAAGGTCTTGAAATCAATATGCTCTTTTTCTTCCTTCTAAACCAGAGGTCATTTTGCATTTGGAAATATCTAGAGACAAAGCGGGTTGTCACAAAACTGGGATAAAGGTGCAGTGTGCTACTTACAAATAGTGAGAAGAGGCTAGGGATGCCACTAAACTAATGTAAAGGACACCCCCCAAAAATAAATTATCCAGCTTGGAATGTCAACAGTGCCCACCAATTAAAAGTACCATCAGTTCTGTAGGAATTAATACATTTGCATGAACAGTAACCAATTTTAGAATGCAGAGATTCATTACACTACACAAAAATAAAACAAATGCACTTTTCATGTTTAGGCCCAGCACACTAGCCCCCTTCAAAGAAGGTTGGGGAGAAGGTGCTAACTAGAGACTATATCAACATTCATAAGCACTAATTCATGGAGTGGGCTTCAAGAAGCAAGCCATTCAGAGATCTGAAAATTTGCAATGAAGGAAAGAATCGGGTACACCAAATGCACCAGTGACACCAGAAGTTGTATGGGCCAAAAGAATAAGAGAGTTCCATATTGCTTGCCAGCAAACATATTGAATTTTACTAAATAAGCTAATATACTGGCTACGTAAGGACCTATCACAACTTTCACAAATCCACAGTTAATATGGATGAGATCTACCAGACTGTTAAAATCTCAAAAAAAAAAAAAGACTAATGATAACATTTTTATAAGCATTTATTCAATAGTTATTAAACACATACTCTGAGTAAGATATTTTTATGTCTTCAGAATGTGGAGAAATTTTTAAAAATATTAAAGACATGTCCCTGGTCATTAGGGTCAAGAAAGATACTTGAAGAAAGTGAGCCAAAAGGACAAATAAATGTTCTGTAAGCTCAGGCAAGCTCATACATGCCTGTAAACAAGGAAGTTTAGGGCACCTCCAAGAGCTGTCAAGGGTAGGAAAATCTAAAATGGTGCGAGTCCCAGACAAAAAGAAAATAGCCTGAAACTGGAACTCTTAGCTATGAAAGGACACAGTGCCTCAAAGGAGTAGGAAGTACCAATTTGCCTCAAGTTCAGGTTTTATGTTAATAAAAATACTTTAATGAGACAGAGAAACCACCCAGTATCTGACTCAAACAAGAAGGGATGTGGTGTCCAAGTATATTTTCTTTAGAAGCATAGAAATGTAGCAGCAAAACACCGTTTTCATGATGAGAAAAATATGAGACAAGTCAATAGGAAAGGGGCAAAAGTATACTTTAAATGTAATTTACATGCTCAAATTCTACATAAATAAAAGCAAGCATTTGTAAGAATTTCTTGAATGTGTGTAAGTTAAAATAAAATTATTTACTGTACTGGGGTACAGACCAGAAGTAGAGGGGGTGAGAGGCTTCACCAGAGACAGAGCAGGAGGCAGGACAGGTTGATCTACTGAAATACAATGCTGAGGGGAGCAGCCGGCAGGACAGAAGAGGTCTGTGGGGCCATATAGCTCACCTCTCTGGGAAGGTTTGTCTACAGCCAGGGATCGAACTCATGCTGCAATGGCTGTGGATAGCTCTATAGCTCTGTGCCTTTAATCTGTTTGCCACCAGGGAGGGCCCAGAATATGTATAAATATTTTTAAAATAAAATATCATCAATATTTTTTTCTTACACAGTATTAAATGTTCACTACTGGGATATATTTCAAAAAAAGGATAGAAATCCAAAAGCTGGTAATGACACATTATGGTTACTGAAAAGACCTGAGGACACTATCCTAAAATTTAAAATTGCATCTTGCACCTTATTTTTTCTTTTTCTTTTTTTTTTTCTTTTGCACAGACAAACTGGGGTTTATGCCAGAGACGCAAAGGGTGAGGTGAGAGGACTCACCAAAGACAGATTCAGGTGAATTTACTGAAAGACAATGCAGAGGAGCGTGGGAGAGATGAGAGGACTGCCATAACGTATGTGGGTTAGCACCCTGGCCAGCCAGGGATCAAACTCATGCTGCAGTAGGGACAGGATTGAGACTTAACCCCTAGGCCACCAGGAAGGCCCACATCTCATTCCTTTAATTTTCAACTCACCAGGAAATGAAGACCTGCCAAGTAGTTTGTACTCCAACACTATCCTTACTTATCCGTAGTACAGCATACCTTATATTTGTACTCAAGTTCCTATGCTAGAGCACTGTCTATAAAGTTTGTTTCACCTGAAAAGTAACACACACCAGCACATTTATCTATTGAACGCCACTATAACCTGGTCCTCCCTGGTGGCTCAGTAGTTGGAGTGCAGCACTATGAAGCTGGCAGCAGCAGCTTCAGTGTGAATTCAATCTCCAGCTTGGGAGCCTCTGTACCCTAGTTCTGCAGGCATAAATAAATAAAATCTAAGAAAAAAAGAAAACCACTATAATAATGTGTTAATACTGCTTTGGAATATTATTATGGCACGTTCAAAACCTTTTCCATGCTTATGAGACTAACATGTAAGCAAACTATCAAAGTTTGCTTTGAGTAATTGTGGTCCATGAACAGACCTTTATTAAGCCAAAAGCAAAGTTTTTATTAACATGTCTCAACTGAGATACACTGACCTGAACCTGAAATCATATTTCATTCATTACAACAGGGTTGCTCATAATAAATTTAAAGCAGTTCCTTTTAAAGGAAAAAGAGTTAAGACTTTCTCTGAATTCCCTTTTATACCTATTTCACTTTCAACGCTCATACATGCTTTTAAAAATGAAGTTTTTTAAGTTTGGATGATTCTGGTATTACTTCTACATTTGCTGCCACTCCAATCTCAAGTATTTTCATTATAATTATTACAAGCCATTCTATTTTCCTTTATGTCATAAAGATTTTTGAAGTCAACTTAAAACTTTGATAGTCTGCTTGCATGTTACTCTCATAAGCACAGGAAAGATTTTCAACATGCCACGATATTCCAAAGCAGTATTAAGTTACCAAGTCCCCCTACTATGCTGAATTGTCAATTTTCATTATTGTATATTCTATCACTAATTCTCCTTTGAATAGAAGCTGAATTTTTTCCAGTGGAAGAAACAAAGACCAAAAGATAACTTATTCTCCTAAGGGGTCATGGTAGCAAGACACTACCTTCTTAAGAAGTGATGAGTAAGTTTTCACTTACTGGTAGTTTGATACAGTGTGAAGACCCCCTCCGAAAGACAAGAGTTGGGGCAGTTTAATGAGAAACCTAGTTTCCCCCCAACAAACTTCAGAGAACCATCTTTTTCATGGTTTTGTTCACTAAATAATTCTTCCCCTGATCAAAGAATGTAGTTTTCCCAATATTCCCTTACTTAGTTCTCTGCATGTTTTGACATATCAAACCCCGTCTTCCACAGGTGAGACTTCCTTCTTTATTTTAACTTCCTAATAATGTTTTAAAATGTAAATGATAATTAAGAAAATTTAAAGAAAAATCTTTCCAAAGTATTAATAGCTCAATTAAAATGTTTACTGAGTATCTACTCTTAGCCACTGTGCTAATACAAAGTTACACAGACTCTGTTCTTCTTAAAAGAATAGAGTGCAATGGGTTAAAGCACCACATTATGAAGGTCCCTGAAGCCACTGAAGCAAGAGTTCAATCCCCTGCCAGGGAGCTGACCTCCTCTGACCCGCCCACTGCTCTCTCAGCAGTGTAGAGTTCAGTACATCTGCCTGGTCTCCCTCCTCTGTCTATGGTGAATCCTCTCACCCACTGCACCTCTGGCCTGGACCCTAGTTCTGAAAGCATGAGTAAATAAATCTTAAAAAAAAAAAAAAAGTATAATGAGACACTCCCATATTGGTAAATATCTAGTTACTGGGAAAAAAACACTATCAGCATGATTGAATAATTTATTTTTCAGTACCTTCATATATTTAAAATTTTCTATTATATGTATTTAATGCTTTCATAACCTGAACAGATAATTATTAATCAGTATAAAGTGGTATTAACAGCAGTAATACTGAGCACCTTTTACATAACCTGTATACGAAGTATACCACAGTATATCTCACTTATCAGAATATCCCAATAAAAAATTACCACCAATAATTTACAGATAGAAAGACTTGTTTGAAATGCTTTCACTGATAGATACTTTAGATTTTCTTCTTTAAAGTAAGTATAAGTTGAGAACAAGACAAAATCAGTTGTGCAGTTTCAGAAAGAAGCACAAACAGATGTATTTGTTGTATGTATGACCATAAAAAAGCAATTAATTTTATTGAGTCTCAGTTTCTCCTATAAAATGGAATTAATAGGGCTTACCTAAATTAGGGTTCTTAGGAGATTAAATGAGATCATATAGGAAATAAAGCACTAAATCTATTAAATAAGTGAAAGCTAATAGCTTTTAATAAACTTTCTCATCATTACTACAATCAGCTAAAAAACAATAAATCTGGGCAAATTATTTACAAACCTGTGAATAATCTGATAAAAATATCTACATCATGGAGACATCTTAAGAATTACATAGGATAATACAGCAGTCAAAACAGTTACCTTCTGTAATTCTCCACAGGTCAAACAATATGGACTGGCTAAATAAGTTAGAATTGCTGTAAAATATTTAAGGGCATGAAAAACTATTCATACTGTATGATTAAGTTCTAAACACAACATGTTGAGTATTTTAGGGGAAATATATAAACAGTACATTATAATAAAGAAATATCTAGAAATACAAATTTATATAGAAATATAAGCTATTACTGCAAGACAGAATTTATATAGAAATATATAAATAGTGTATTAATAAAAAAGGCAAAATGCACCTCACGACCTACAATTTGTATGTGTCAGCAACAAGTCAGTCATTAAAAACAGTAACAACTCACCACACTTTATCAAAAAGATACAAAACACAATCCAAAAACCTTCACATATGTACATGAATAAAAGCAGTTTATAAAAGCAGTTGTTTATATACCCCCACTAATATATCATCAGTGGGATTCTTCCATAAATTCATTCTAAACATCCAGTTTTAGAGAATTAACAAGGGAAAGGAAGCTATTTTTTACTAAGAAACATTTTTACTTCCTACCATTTTAGTTAAAAGCCTTTGTATTTTATATTAATATAGAAACATTTTACACTAATACAGAATACAAGAATATATCCGCAAGGACAAATATGCTCCAGAGGAGAATTCTAATTTTCACTTAGAGGAATGAATATTCATCTTTAAAATCAATATTTCACAGTAAAAATATCACTGAAGTTATAATCTTGTGATTATGTGCAAAAAATATTGTAATGAAGATGATTTAAAAAAAGGAAGCATGATAGCTTATTAAAGGGAATGGATTAACACACATAAAAGCTGGTATTCAATAAAAGGTAGAAATAACTACTGAAGATATAAAAAACTAATTCTGACTTGGAAAAACATTAGATATAATACTGTAAAACACTTATTTTTTAAACACTATTTCATTAATGTAAAGGTCCTACACCTCCATTTTTATTTCAAATTAGTTTACTTGAATTAACACATAACCAATGGTTAAACATTCAACATTCATTCAATCCTGAAGATGGAAAACAAAACACAATTCTCAAGAGCAAAGAAACAGCCCTTTTAAGTCACAGATTAAATTTAAAGAATCTCTGATGTTAAGCAGATTTTCCTAAGTAAAATGAATCATTTTCTCAATTCACATGAAGGATTCAAGATATATGAATATATATAAAAAGAAAATTATCTCACTATTTTTTCCTCTTAATTCTATCACTAAATAAGCCTCAGTAATCCAAAAAAAGAGTATCATTTTAACACTGTCTCCCTCTGCTGTACAAAAAAGGACTCAAAATGTTCATTTCCCTTATGATATAAATTAACTATAATTCTTTCAGTTTTTGATAAAATACAGCTTAAATTTCAGCTGGCAGTATAACAAAGAACACGCATTACTTTGGGTTAGGGCAAAAAAAAAATTCATTCTTCAGAATACAATCTTAGACTATAGATCCTTTAATTTACAATTTAGAAAAACCTAAGCAAAGATCAGTTCCACAGCAATAAAAGGATACCCCTAACAATTTAGTAACTGTGTAAAGGCAGGCTTAATAGTTTAATAACTATGTAAACTTGGGAGAAGCATTTAAAGTCCATGAACCTCAGTCTTTTTTCACATGTAAAACTAAGAATGAAAATATTTTATCCACCATCTTCATACAGCTAACATTAATTAGAATTTACCTTAAAGTCACACACTAAGCAATTGAACACCATTAGGTACAACGCACAGTACAAGGTCTTGTTAAAAGTAGCCAATTTTCAGAACACAGATTTAGAAATTCTTCATTGTAAAGTTAACTGTATGTCCTATACTTTATCCGGCAATTCTATGTGGACTATATACAAAGAGAAAATTTTGACATATTTTTAATCCTCAAAAGACTTATCAAGAGCAAGGGAAATAAAATATATGCATAAACAAACTATTAAACAAGTACCTATGAGGTAATTAAAGGTATTTAAATACCTATGAGGTATTGCAAAAAAGGCAAACGGGGCATAAAGGATGTTTAGAAAGGTTAGAATCAACAAAAACATACAAAATTCAAAGAATAAGTAAGAGATGATAGTGCTCAGTTACACACACAAATGTTATGTATTTGCTATATGGGATGGCTGAGTAACAAACGTTTTAGTCACCATCTATGTACATATGTATCAGTTCATATTAATTATTTCAACAAGGACAGCTTCTCGTCCTTAAATGCTTGATAGAAAAAAGTACAAAAGGGGTCCTCCCTGGTGGAGCAGCAGGTTAAGGCACAGCACTGAAGCTGGCTGCAGCCACCTCAGTGTGGGTTTGATCCCACTCGCCCCCGGAGGTGATCCACATGGCATGGCAGACCTCTTCTGACCTGCCCACTGCTCCCAACTCAGCAGTGTACCTCATCAAGCTACCTGTTCTGCTCTCCACTCTGTCCTGGTAAATCCTCTCACTGCCCCTGCACCTCTGGCCTGTACCCTAGCTCTATATGCACAAATGAATAAATCTTTAAAAAGAAAGAAAAATGGCCCTCCCTGGTGGCGCAGCAGGTTAAAGCACTGCACTGAGAATCTAAAGCCACTTCCACATGAGTTCGATTCCCGCCTGCCCCGGAGGTGACCACATGGCGTGGCAGACCTCTCCTGACCCGCCCGCTGCTCCCCTCAGCACTGTACTTCGTTGATCTGCCTGTTCTGCTCCCCACTCTGTCTCTGGTGAAGCCTCTCACCGCCTCTGCACCTCTGGCCTGTACCCCAGTTCTGTATGTACAAATAAATAAAGAAATCTTAAAAAAAAAAAAAATGTACAAAAATGTCAAACTCATAATTTTTGGCCTGATTCCCTCCCAAATCTAACTGTGATTAGTTATTTTACCCAAAATTATTTTATCAAACAAATTCAACACTATGTGGATGGGGCAAGACTAAAATATTGGTAAGATTTTATCCTATCACTAGCTGGCAGTGGACATGGAATGAAATAAAGCTGCTGAGAAATGGTGCACCTGAAACCTGTACATGTAAACTTATGTTACCTTAATAAAAACTGAGGAAAAAAATTCATCATTTTTTCTTTCATAAAAGCTACTGTTTATCTCCACCTCACAATTATATTTTTGCATTTTATAATAGTCAATAAATGGGCAGACTTTTTAAATAATATGCAAAAAACCACTTCTTTACTTTGCACTTCCTATTACATGCTGTACATGTCCTCTTTGTTCTGCATATCTAGTGTGTGCTCATGACACACTTATTTAGCCCATAACCTTTATTTTTGCAGATGCTAGAATTTTAGTCCTATCATGTAACTAATCTAAATTCACAAGGCAAGAAAAGAACCAGAATGGATTTTTAAATTTTTAGTTCAGTATTTTTTCTACTAGATTATGTTATTGCCTATATCTTTGGATTAATATTTAAACTATCCTCTGAATTTAATTCTACTATGTTTCAATTCTTTTTGCGGGGGGGAAAAAAAAACCTAAGGTATATAGTTACACAAATGGCAATATAAATTAGTGATTAATCCTAAATAAATAAAATGACCTAAAGTTCAGCTTAACTAAAAAAATGAAACAAACAGAGTCATCTTTATAATAGTTTGTATTTTTAACTATGTAAGGCAGGGTAAGAAAGTGCCCATTTATGAGAAGAGACATTGTCAGTAATAAATCTTAGAAAGGCTGATTATTCTATCTCTTTTAATAATTGCTATTTATAGAGAGGTACTATAACTATTTTAGTAAGTATCCAACCACTAAGGTTAAGTAGATTTTTACACTCCACTGTCCTAGAATTTGGGAAGAGGAAACACCATTCTCAAAAATTATTATTTTTGGACTCCTGGTGGTGCAAGGGGTTAAAGCACAGCACTATCATTGTCACTGACCTGACCCCTTTTAACTTAAAGACCATGGCTGAAGGACCTACAAACTTATCAGATGTGTGATTAGGTAACCAATGTTTATTTATTTTGAAAATACTACCCTTTTAATTGTCTTACCTTTGTTGAAAGTACTTTAAATGTACTCTGTCCAGGTATTATAGGATGAAGAAGTCTCAGTTTTAAATTGTAATCCTCTCCAGAAGGAAGTTTCACCAAGGCAGACAACTAATTAATATAAAATCAGCAAAACATTATGAGTTTATAAAATGAAAGGTAAAAAACTGAATCTATTAATCACATAATTTCAATACTGCTACATATTATTATAAATTCAACAGTACATGGGACATCAGATTTAAGAACCTCAAAATAAACCTTTTCCATCTGGTATCTTTCGTATAGTTTCTTAGGTAGATATAATTAAATAGCAAGAAAGAATGTATTTCATAACTTAAAATGAAAGTCTCCAGATACAACAAAATGATACATATATATCAATATTAATGTACAAAACACCTAGTTCTGCCACTCTCTTAAATATAAGTTTGTCTACTAAATGACAGGGAACCAAGTTATTAGAAGCTTCTCATTTAATATATTAAGTAAATTCCAATGCATTTAAGTCATATAACAAGAGGACCCTTTTCACTACGTATACAGATAAATGTAACCAAATCACACATATTACTGATTTCTAATATTACTACATGTATTTATCAGCCAAGTTCTGCTTGAATTAAATGTAAAGAAAGTAATGTACATCTAAATATATGTGACAGTAAATACATGCTTGTCTCAAATTTTCAATTGATTCGAATTAAATAGCAATGCCTCAAATTTTCAGCAGCATTTTCCACATTATCTCAAGAAATGACATATACTTCACAAACTGCTAATTATTCTGCAATATACTATTGTTGCAAATAAAACCACTTAATCGCAACATAAAGATTGTTGAAAGGCTGTAATAACCTCTTTTTCTGAAAATTCCACATTTACATCATTCTTCTGAACATTCTTGATCATAAGTGTAATGATTACTTGAGAGTCTGTTTGATACCAGTCATACCTATTAAAAAAGAAAACAAACTTAAAACAGACTTCGAATTTTCTTAAAGCTGTTGCTTCTTTGTTTTGTCAGATAAAAACGTACAATCTTATGAACAACAAGAGCTCCACCTTGAGGAACAACACAACAAAACAGCTGGTGACTTGCAGAAGCAATTTTACTTTAGCTCATTTTTTTTTTTTTTATGATTGGTACTAATGAAAGAGAGCAGTAAACCTTTTCAGTGGATTTAAATACAACCTAATTTTCTGGTTCTCACTCGTATATCTATTATTTTTGTGCTTACGAGAATGTTAAAAGATGAAATTTATTCTTAACTAAGTTGTTAAACCATAAATAGTTTTATGAGTTTTACACTCATTTGAACATCAGGTTTTATATTCTCATTTCAACACTTCTATCATATGTAACAGATTAAAAAACAAGCTCATGGAAGGGATTATGCTCAGTGAAGTAAAAAGGAATAAGAAAAATATAAGATGATATCACTTATCAGAGGAATAAGGGAAACCCAAAAAAGGGGGGAAAAGACAAAATTTGCAGGCAACTTTAGATCTGAGGCTTACAGCAGGGGAGGGGAAAGAAGGGAAGCAGGCTCAAAATGTGTGAAACAAACACAAGGTATTAGGGTAATAATTCACAGGTGATGTGTTAGATATTTTCAAGGCCTAAAATAGAGGGGAAAAATAATGTACAAAAAATAATGTACAAAAATTAACAACAATGTAAGAAAATGAAAAAATTAGTGAAGTGGCAGTTGTTAAGCTTGACCCAGGGCAGCTTCAAGCCACACTACAAAGATCTCTTAACTGAAATTGAAATAAATGTTGCTGAGCACAGCAAACATTAGTAAATGTGCTAAAATTAAAATAATTTAAAATTTAATTCATCTTTCATAGTAAGAAGGTACCTTCTTCAATTTCAAGGCTTGTAGGAAAAGAACTGTGCCCGGAGGTTTCTAATTATGTGTATCTTTCCACTCAAAGTTTCAAAAATGAAGACTCTCACTTTCAATTTTGACTAGATCATAAATTCGATGAAGTTAGAGCTATTTATCCTACTGCTATTATATTTCTAAGACTAAGCATAATGCCTGGTATAAAGTATATTAAATCAGTGTTAGACCACCTTATGCTCCAAACATCATAATTAGTTTCTGATGTTTATGTGCCCTGTGGCAGCCACAAGCCTAATAAAAGTTTTCTGTCTACTAGGTACTAGAAGAGTCTTCCTGTATCTCTAGAGAAACAAGAACTGCTTTGTTTTAAAGTTTCCAAATCATTTTAGATAATTACATCAAAAAGCAACTTGATTGAAGACATAAAGCTTTAAGAGTTTCACAAATTGCCTCTGAAATTTAGTGAGGAAGCAAAGCCCCAGGTCAATAACTTGTGTTTTATTCTGTTACAGTCCTAAGAATACAAGGTGTACACATGGTAAACAAATAATTAAAAATAAATTCAAATACTTCCTAGGTACCTTTTCATTATTATAAATGCTGTTTTTCATTATTATAAATGCTGTCCTCATCAACATTCATTTTGAAGTTAAGCAAAATTATTCTATGAAAATTTACTCCAAAGATAAAAGGCAGGTACAATTACAATTTCTATCAAGCCTCCTGATAATTTATCTGGATTACAATATCCTCAAGAGGGTCTCCTTAATGTATGCAAAAGTGACAAATAGGAAACCATGTGAAATGAAGCAAGTTTAAAGTTGAGAAGTCATTTGGATTTAACCTTAATAATACTAATCAATAAACAGCTTTAAATTTGTTTATGTGCTAATTTTTTAACTGAGAAACAAAATCACAAAATAAGGACTTACTATTAAATGAAAAGAATTTTTTCCCTTCAAACATATTTATAGTGATTATTTTTTGAGAAAGAAAAACTTACTTGATTTTTGACTGATGAGCCCGCTGGGATGCAGACTGATTTTAGCAAGTATGAAGAAAAAGATATTTACAAATTAGTTTATTAACAACTGCATATTAAAATACAAATAGTATTAATCTACCCAGTGTTGATAGTTAACTTTCATATGAAACAACTTTGATGACAACTTCCTTTAAACAAACCTGTCCATAATATTATTAGTTTCAATTTCAAAAAATATTTTTCCTCTAGAATTAAAGCATGAAAACCAGATATAATAAATAAAACCAAATAAATAAATAAATAAATAAATAAATAAATAAAACCAGAACACTTCCTAAAGGTATAACTGGAAAAGGTTAGATATAAAATGTCCAGTTCTTTACATAAAATGAAAACAACAACATATAGAAAACAATTCTTAGCATATACTATATAGCTGTCAGGTCCAATAATGGCATCATATACTGCTTGTTCATATGAAAGAACATTTTCATGGTATCCCACTGAAAACATCTTACTGTTTTTATGGTCTCTCTACAACAAACATTTTACAATGTGCATTAAGAAATAAACTGATTTTTGACCAATTCATATTTTCCTAAGGTACATAAGTAACAGTGAAGACCACATGTAAAAAAATTGTAAAATGTAAAAAAAGTGGGCTGAGTCTAAATAGGAAGTCTCTTAAGTTGTTCCTGTAGGAAAAGGGAAGACATGGTGTCTGGAGAAGAAAATAAGCAAAGATCTCAATTTAACTCAGAATTATGCCCCACTGTTCAGTACTGCAAAATACCTGAACAGAGACAATATAAAGTAGAGATAACAACCAGAAAAGATTATTCCATTCATCATGGTACCAAGGTAAAATTAGACTAAACTGCAACAGTGAGAAAACACACTGTTGCTGAAGAGCTATTTGTGTTATTGGAGTTTCTGTTACCCAAATTGCCATTCGATTATCTTCAAGTCTAACCCACATCTCAAATAAAGGAAGACAATTTTTAAATGCTTCCTCAAATCTATTTCCCACCTATCACCCCTAGGAGTATGGACAAGCCTGAAGTAAAAGAATAGTTTTTTGCTATGTTCAGAATCCCAGTCACTACATATACACATATACCTTCACTAATGCTCACAACCAATTGCTAAAAGTAGATTAGTTATAATAAATTCAGTTTATACATGAAGAAAGCTAAGAAAATAAATAACTTTCTTCATGTTACAAGTCAATCCTGGAAGACAGAGATGTATCTTTCTTCTGAGATTAAGAGATTCAGAAGGGTTAAGTAAATTGCCCACAAAGAAAGTTAAGGACTATACATGTATCTCCTGGCACTCAGTCATTTTATTTCTTGACTAAATATCACTCTATTACATTTAGTGACTGAAAAAGGTGTGAAAATCTTGATGTCCAAAATAAACGTAACACTGATTTAGACAGAGATAAACATTTCCAAATTTTAGCTAACCTTTGTGTCTTAGCATACAATTGCTCCCAAGGTAACAACTGTTTAACCTAGAGGTAGTGACTTTTCAGCAAAAAAGAAATTATTACCCAACCATACTAAACATACCAAATCAATTTGAATAATGCATTAAAAGATAACAATAATTTTCATGAAATTTACCAGTTACTAGAGTAACAAAGTATTTAAATGGAACTGCTCAATATTTAAGAGGAGATCATTCCAAGTCTTATAATTACAAACATGAAGGATAAAGATTTTGGACTTACCACCTCATCTTGTGATCCTATTAAAAACACAAAATGAAGTACTTTAAGTATTTTCAGTTAACAGGAAATTTACAGACAAAGCCACATACATGACCTCTATGTTTAGTACAAACATAGTGAATAAGAAAACCACTCTCCATACACTCTAAATAAAGGAAAGTGACTTAATTTTGCATCCTGGCAATTTTGTATCTGAGTTAACTTCTCAGAAATATTACTGCAAAACAAATCCATCAAATCTTCCTTTCAACCTAACAAACTAGGCAAAAATCAGAGTATCTTTGGAAACCCTAAGGGAACATGTACTATAGAAAAGTCATGTTATAGTAAAAAATAAATTGGTTTATATCAAAAAATATCAAACAGTTACTTTTTTAAAACTGAAAGACCATGAGAAACTGATATACTTACCATTCTGAGCTTCCTGACACCTTTTAATCCAGACAATGAAATCAGCATCTGCACCTAGAAAGAACAAACTGACTACATCAGTCATCTGCACAATCTTACATATTTGTTCAATAAATACTGAAAAGTCACTACAGTTCACTGTTTTAGTTCTAGGCACTAAGGATTCAGCAGTAAGTTAAAAAGACAAAAATAACTGTCCTAACAGAACTTATAGTAACCCTAATGTTAAGTTACTGCTCTAAATAATATCGATAGGTTTAACATTTCGTTGTTCATCCTAAAGAATGCTGACCAAAAAAAAAAAAAAAAGTTTTACTGACAGTCAACCTTACTGGTTCCCAGATACAATCTACTTTTTACCCAACCTTTCTCTTAGAAGAGCTTCCTCTCAAACAATAAAAGCAGGCCTAAATCAGATTGGCAGTATACCATCAAACCGTCAAACAGGTTATAGTGGAAGCCTGGTAACCAACATCCAGGCTGAGGTCCAGAAGTCACTTCCAGACTATTTATTGTCCAGTGCAGCTACCTAGCATTCTGCCCACTATCCTCTTAATGGTTTTACTTGTTACCAAGGCTTTCCTACCAACAACAAGAAGCGTATTTTATACTTTATAGGTTTATCATATCTCCAAGCTTCATGGCAGTCAAAACACTGTAGTGTGCAACATATTGAGAGATAGCAATCGAAAGATTACATAAGAAAATTACTGATACTCAAAACAATATTTAAGGCTTTAATAAAATGTTAAGAAAATATGTTAGAAATACTCTAATAAGTTTACCAATTCAAGCTTATTTTCAGGAAAGATGATATTGGGAAAAAAAATAAAAATACCTTAAAGTCAAATTTTCTAATTTACTGCATATAAATGAAATTCAGCTGTACATACACACACACACACACATGCACACATGGTCATAATGGAAAACAATTATAAAAACACTAGACTTCAATAATCTATTACTCAAACCAATTACTCAAATAACACTAAGTGTCCTATCATGGAATGTGGGAAAATGGTGATAGATTCTGAGTTGTAATTTCTTACCATTTGATAAAAATGGAAGTCTAACAGTTTAACATGGATTTTTCCTGGAATTAAAGATATACTGTCTTTAACTCCTCAATAGCAATTTTACCAAGCAGCAGACATAGTCTTCTAAATCACGTCTGAAATAGGTCCAGGATAAAAGTCAGTGGTATGATAATAAGGTATTACTAAAGGAAGAAATGTTGGCAGAAAATTCTATTAGCAATACTCTTGCTTTATAAAGATAAGGAATAGGGCTTAAAAATCTAGAAGACAGAATGTCTCTGTAGGGTTTTCAAATATGTATCAAAGCTCTAGATATTGGCACTCAGAATTTGCTATGAGTGCAAATATACTGGCTTGCTAACTGAAAAGTCACATTGTGCATGTACTATATTTAGCATAATCAACTGTGCAAACAAATCCTATTACCTAAATATCTTATTTTGTGATTTATAGATTCCATTTTCAAAGTTGAGCTTACGATCCCTTCTCAAGTAGATATACAGCAGAAAAGCAAGTATTGAAAGCAGAGTAAAGAATATTTTAAAACACAAAAATATAACTATACAACACTTTAGAAGTCTGTCGACCTCAGCACTACTCAATAGTAGTAGAGACATCTGATCAAGCTGGGGCAACTGTCCTGTGTTACTGTAGATATTTAGCATTATCCCTGGCCTCTACTAACTAGATGTCAGTAGCATACTCCCTCATCCACCAATCAATAGTAATCAGAAGTGTATTCAGACATTGCCAAATATCCCCAGGGAGTGAAATCATCCCCTATTGTTAACAATGATTACTTTAGTCTGGTAACACTTTACCATATGGTGAAGATAAAAATGACAGCAAGCAATTAGGATTATTCAGTCTGTAATTATCTATGAGATTATTTACAACCTCTTTAGTATTTTTCACTTTCTGATTCTTTGCTTTTAAAATTTATGTATAAATGCCTATACATAAATATAGACATCTATACTGCTCTGAAAAAGAAGACAGTGAAAAATCTCAGTACTTAAAAGCTCCATGGTTCTTCTGTACCCTATCACAACTACCCAAACTAATAGTTCACTTCTCAAAAAAAAAAAATCATTAAAATTTCCTACTTCAGCAATCTGAACACAAGGACAAATGAAACTTTCATTTGTCCATTAGAAAAAAATAATGCTAGACTAAGTGGCAGAAGTATATTGAGTGTTTAGTATATATAGTTTTTAGCATCTAATGGTAAAAGTTATGATTTGAATGCTAAAGATCAATTTATTTTTTAAATAAGTTCAATTTTTGTAATCAACATAAAATATCATTAAGAGGAGGAAAAAAGGTGTTGGGTTTCTACAATTAACCTGAGATTACACTAAGTAAATTTTGCTATAGTATTTAAAGACACAGAAATAATAGATTAACATAATTCTAACACTTACTATTTAACTTCTGTCCTTCTGTAAAAGTTTCTAAAGCAGCAACATAGTTCTTTTCATGGTATTCACATATCCTGCATGAGCATATTAAAAACAAATGCCACATACACATCATGAGATCATGAAAAATAAGCCTTTCTTAAAAAAAATCCTAGTAATCTCTATTGTTAAAAGATTTTAAATATAAGTTAACAAGCCAAAGGTTATTTAAAATATTCTACTATAACAATTAGTATAATTCACATTAAAATCCAATTTTGCAACTCAGTTCAGATGGAATTTCTTGATGTAATTACATAACATTTGCTTATTCCAAAATATAGTTACATTAAGGAATTAAACACATTTCTGAGTAAAAAATAGTCACATTTATCAAAAGTCTAAAAGTGGATTATATAAGAGACATAAGATGGGATATAAAGTATAGAGACACAGTGCTTTCCTAGCATTAAAGGCAGCCAATCCAACTTGGCTGGAGAATTGGATTTTTCTCTAATCATCTAAATACAGGAAATCCCAAAAGATAAACAAAAAAGAAATTTGAAATCCATCTCTGTCATCTAAACTTTGCAGTTACTTAAATTATTACTACTTTAAAACACATTACAGCGCTCCTGTCACAATAATGCAGTTACTACAACAGAAGTAGAAATTACATTTAAAACTGAACCTTATTCTCAGATATAGTATAAAAAATAGAACTTTTTATGTAAAGCTTATAATCATTTATTCCACAAGTATCTACTATCTGTAGTACACACTCAACAAGAAGAGCTGTTACTACATACCCTTTTCTCAGCATAGCAGTAGAATTATTTGGATTAAGTTCAAGAGATTTCTTTGCATCAGCTATAGCATCTAAAATAAAAATTTTTTTTAAAAGTTTAATCAGTTATTTATAGTCTAACAATTACCATGAAAAAAGTCAATCTTAGATTTTAAAAGGTTTTAAAATTTTAAAAGGTTTCAGGTTGGAATGCAGTTTTAAAATGGGAAAAGCTAACCCAAGATATAAATCATAGAAACATTACACTCATACCTTTAGCCTAATATTAATTTTGTTCTTAGCATTCTTCAGTCATAGAATAAAATTGTGACACACTTCATGTAATTTTTTTCATTAACATCAATATGTAATTTGAATCAAGATAGTTTGCAATAAAAGTCAAACGAGTATTTCAGTAAATACTCTCTAAATGTGGGGCCCTCCCTGGTGGCGCAGCGGGTTAAAGCACTGCACTAAGAAACTAAAGCCTCCTCCGCATGAGTTCGATTCCCGCCTGCCCCGGAGGCAACCACATGGCGTGGCAGACCTCTCCTGACCCGCCCGCTGCTCCCCTCAGCAGTGTACTTTGTTGATCTGCCTGTTCTGCTCCCCACTCTGTCTCTGGTGAATCCTCTCACCCTCCGCATCTCTGGCCTGTACCCCAGTTCTGTATGAATAAATAAATAAAATCTTAAAAAAAAAAAACTCTCTAAATGTGATCTTATTCTTCAATAAGATGTCCAATAACCACGAATGAAATCTACATGAATGCTCTACTCACCAAAGAATACATACTCATAAAATGTTGCCCATCATGCTTGGCTCATTTCAGCTACTTTGTATGAAAGATCAGTTTTAAAATCTGGTCTCTATTTTATTTGATTCACTACATCTTAGGCAAAAAATATAAGTAAATTAAAAAGAAGAAACAATATTTTTTAAGAAAAGTTACCACAATAATTCCCAAGAAGAATGTGACAATAAGCTCTTTGACAGTAATACTGTGCATCATCTGGTTTCTGTTCCAAAGCCTTAGTCAGCTCCTAAAAATAAAAAATATTGCATGTCAGTGTTTTTTAAAAGCCATTACATTTTAATTAAGTATAATTTTAAATAAACTTTCATAAATATTTGGAGATATGGCAATAGGGATTAAGCTTGAACTTCTTCTTTGCAAGGGGATCAGTTTCCCCTTCCTTTCCCCTCTCCCTCCAAAAGCACACAATCTAATAGATTATCTATATAAAGCATGTAACAGTTCCTGGCCTAAACCAAATAAATGGTAATTATCACCTCACTTACTCTAAAGACCTAGTTGATATATAATGAGCATCACACACTTTCTCCTAGTTTGGAAAAGACTCATAGATCATATACAATTTGAAATGCCTAGAAAATAAAAAGTTGTCCAATAAAAAAAAAATAGGAGTAAATTCTAGAGCTCAGGAAGGTTAACTGAATCAATAAATACACAATCAAGCTTACCTGGCACCCTTTCAGTCTATGTGAATGGCAGAGTACTCTAAGAAATTATATTCTGTTGAGAACCCAGACCTCACAGATAGCTATCATCAGCTGTTGAAGAGTTAATATTAAAGAGATGAAAACTATTGCCACCCTGGGCAGTCACAGTAAGAAAGTAGTGACTAGAAAAATAATGATGCAAGAAGACAGAGCACAATCAGTGAGGCCAGGGCAATTGTAGGCAAACAGAAACACTTTGATTCTCCACCCAATATTCACACACCCTAGGGATTTGATACTTTTTTTTGAAAGATAAAATTATTTCAATAGCCATATGTGTGGATGACTTCCTTTAACCTAGTAAAATGATTCTCAAAAAGCAATGTATTATATGTATTTGTTATATCATTTACCTAAAATTCAACATGTCTAAAATCCAAACCCCTTTTTATCATCTTTCCACCGCATCCTCAACCAAACAGTAATAAAAATCAGATCTTGTTATGATGTCTCTGCTCAAAATTATTCAAAGCTTTTCAACTGACTCAATACATAGTCCAAGTCCTTCTAATAATTACAAGGCCCATTTTGATATGAACCCCTGTTGTCTTTTTGATTTAATGTTACTACTCTTCTGTTTGTTCTACCAATCTAGTCACAACCAGAATTTTTGCTGTTCTTCCAAGACTTGAAGTTTCTGCACTTGATGCTCCCCATCACTAGAATGCCTTTCCACCGCATGTGCACAAAATAATCTATCCCTTAACTACCTACTTAATGACAAGATGAGGCCAGAGACAGGATTCAAATCCAGGTCACATTCCAAATCAGATTACAAATGTTTCTTTACTCCATGTTTCTTTCACAAACCATCTGACATTTGTATTAATATCTTTTCTAACACTTGGAAATTCTAAATTAAACACCATCTTGCACTAAACTTTCAATCTTGAGCACAGCTGACAGCCTCATACTTTAATACTCAAAGCAAATAACCAGTTCAAATTTCTAGCCTTTCCTCAGCAAGAAAATGGTGTATTATGGTTAAAAAAAAAAAAAAAAGGGCCCTCCCTGGTGGTGCAGCGGGTTAAAGCACAGCACTGAGAATCTGAAGCCGCTTCCGCATGAGTTCAATTCCCGCCTGCTCCGAAGGTGACCACATGGTGTGGCAGACCTCTCCTGACCCGCCTGCTGCTCCCCTCAGCAGTGTACTTCGTCGATCTGCCTGTTCTGTTCCCCACTCTTGTCTCTGGTGAAGCCTCTCACCGCCCCTGAGCCTCTGGCCTGTACCCCAGTTCTGTATGCACAAATAAAAAATTTTAAAAATCTTAAAAAAAAATGGACATAGATCATGTCAATATATGGATTATCAAGTCAAAACAGGATGTTTAAACGTTATTTAACAAACATTAAGGCATATACTTAATGTTAAGGATGAATGGAGATAAATTAATAGTTCTTTATTAAGTTAGATAAACTCTGAATTTCAAACAACCAGCTTGCAAATAGTCTTTAAAATATGAGCCAATTGTAGGTTGCAGTTATGGTGATTAAGTGAAACCAAGCAATTAACTCATTATATTACTAAAAAAAAAGTTCCCAAAGAACTAATAAACACAAACTACACATTCCAACACAGAACCTTAAATGTCATGAATAAAACTATCTTTTTAAATTTTGTACAAGCAGTATTAGCATAATAAAGGACAAAAAGGGTAAAGTTAATGATTTGTGGTTGTCTCAACTACATCTGATTTGTGGCATGTTTTTAGCATTCTGTTTCTGTGACAACAGCTGCTGGCTGTTCGAGCACAAAGTGCCTACACGGTGGTATCTCAAAAATTAAGGATTCAATGCCACAGTCCAAAGGCTACTGTGAAAAGTGGACCTACGGAGAATATAATATAAACCAGTCCAATGATGTTCTTATTAAACTTAACTATACTGTAGTCAAACAATTTAGAATTTAGAGTTCTTAAAAATAAATCTGCTAATGGCAGGAGGTTAAAGCACAGCAATGAGAAGCCAAAGCCGCTTCCGCATGAGTTTGATTCCCGCCTGTCTGGAGGTGCCCACATGGCGTGGCAGACCTCTCCTGACCCGCCCGCTGCTCCCCTCAGCAGTGCACTTCGTCGATCTGCCTGTTCTGCTCCCCACTCTGTCTCTGGTGAAGCCTCTCGCCGCCCCTGAGCCTCTGGCCTGTACCCCAGTTCTGTATGCACAAATAAATAAATATTTAAAAAAAAATCTGCTAAAGTGTAAAATATACTGAAACATGATAATGCTAATCAAGTACTCTCTGGTAACCCAGAATAAGAAAAACCCCTTTTCAAGGCATAAAAATTGACTCATAGAAAACAAATTTCCAAGTCTTTCAAGTTTTAGGCATTTTAAAAAATGCTACTTAACAAGGTAACTTGTTACTGAGGGTAAAAGCAAAAGTTAACCTCATGTCTGAAGGTCTTCCGTGAAGTATCTCAATTAGATTCATTTGCTGTATTCCTGTTAGTTAAGCCTTAATTAAGGATAAACAACATCTAACCTCTCTTACTAAACTGCCTAGCCCTACTGGAGAAAAAGTACACACCACACAGATTTATACTACCAGTTAAACTTAAAAATCCAAACTATCCTAGTCAGCTAGTTCAAAGTCAGCCACCAAATCTTTCATTATATCACAATCCCCAATCCTACCCCTCTCCTCAGAGACTGACCTTGATATCTAAACACTAAGACTAGTAACTTCTAAACTTCATAACTCTGAACAAGTTGATCTCTTTATCCTTCATTTCCTTACTAATAAAATATCCACCTGAGAATTGTTGCAAGAATGATGGAAGGAGTCAGTTACCACATCCCTAGCACTACACTAAGAGCACAATCGGTCAGCCCTGTCCTCTTGAAGCTTACACTGAAGCCCAATTTAGATAGGGTACATCAGAAAGAAGGTAAGTTCTGAGATGACATTACAGCTGAAACATAAAGTGATGAGCATCTATGGACAAAAAGATAGGTAAAGAAAATACTTTTCAGACAAAAGGAACTGCCAAGTCCAAAGGCATTCCACCAGGATATAGCTTGACAGAGTCAAGTAACAGGAAAATGCTGAGCTAGAACCTAGAGAGCAAAGAAGCTACAGATGACTCGAGTGTCACCATGAACCTTACTTTTCTTTGTAATAAATCTATATACACACACACACACACACACACACACACACACACACACAGGTCTTTTTTAGTCTCATTTATAACCAGGAACTCTGAGCCAGCGTGACATTTTTCTGAGTTTACAAATTTTTCCTGAGGTTTTGTTATCCTGAAATAGACCAAAGCAGTCTGACCCCAGAGTCTGTGTTCTTAACCACTCACTATTCATACTTGGATTCTCATAATCCATGTTTTCTCTTCCTACTGTACTGAGAATGACTAAAAGTTATATTTTTTACTTTCCTAATCAGCCTCTACTATGCTATGCTTAGTGTACTTTAATTAAGATTCTGCCAAAGTACTTATATTTTAATAATCTGTTGATCTTTCCTCACTAGACTTCAAAGCTCCCCGCTGCAGTCTTCATGTTTACATCCCCAATTCCTAATACAACATTCACCACTTAGTTTCCTGAATGAATGAAAAATTATGAATCAAATTGTTGATACAAATATTTCCCCTTTATTTCCAATTAAAGCATTCTTACAGAAAATGTAAGATTTTAACAGATGTAATACCAGGTGACCTGAATTTCCAGACTGTTTGGCCCTTAGCAAAATCTAGGGAGAGACTCACTTTCCCTAAAGGTTGATAGTAATGAACATTTACCTATTCAGCTTTGCTAAGTTATTTCAAGTATTAAAAAGATCATTTTCTCTTAATACAGCTGTTTCTTATCATGATCATCCTCCCCACCCCAAATTTCTGATTCAGGCCCATGGTAGCTTCTAATCGTTTGTATTTCTAGCAAGTCCTAGGTGATGCTGCTGCAACTGGTATGCAGACCACACTTTGAGAACCCAATGCTCTGGAGAATGAGAGTAAGAAAACATGTGCCCTAAGGCCCCATTCTACTTCTCACTGGCTGTATACATCTCTATAAATAATCACTTGGAATTCACTACATCTCAGTTTTCTTTGATAAAAGGGAAGGGTAAGAAGTACTAAACTACAGGAACTGTAAAGACGTTCAGTAAATCTGGTATGGGCTTCAAGAATGTTTTCCATGTTTTTTTTTTTTTTTTTTTACATTTTAAAAGGACAGCTTTATTAGGAAAAGAAGAAAAAAGAAGAGGGAGACACATGTATATATAATCACAGGTGGGGAAAAAAGCTGCTGCTGTTTTGCAAATGGAAAAAGTCTGTGACAAGAAATACCTGCACAGTAAGGGGGGACAAAGAAAGTTGTGTTCTGCCAGTGTAGTAATTTTATTTACTGATATAACTAATCTGCTTTCTAATGAGTTCCCAGGTGATGCTGATATCACTAGTCCAAGAGCCACACATTAAAAACCAAGATAATAAAGCTAATTTCACCTCCAGGTATATACCTTAAAAATACAGGAGAGCATGTATTCACAAAAATACATGTATAAGAAAACATGCAGGGACTTTAGTTATACTAGCCAGTAACAGGAAATAACTTCTATGTGCCTTAATGAATAAATTATACTGTACTACTACAATGGAAAGCTATGTAAGAATAAAGAAGAACTCTGTTTCACACAATATGGGTTATCTCACCTGTTCAAAGTAAAAGAGAGTACCTATATTGGAGTTCCTACACTGTGACTGTTTATATGAAGTGGAAGAACCAGCAAAACTAACTGATGGTGAACTGGAGGTCAGAACCTCCAGTTATCTGTTGGGTACAGGAAAATCTTGAGTGGGAAGAAGCATGTGGATTTATATATAAATCTATTTAAACAGAATTTTTACAAAAAACGAACTTCTAAAGAGACACTGAGTTTAAGAGAACTATCATAAATGTACATTGTGAAAATAAACAACTATTTAGATAACATAAGGACCTGTGGGGAAAATGTCTCATTGCTTCCTATAACATTATTCTAATAGTGTCAACAGAAACCTATGAACATGACAGCATTTTCTTTGAAGGCCTTCATTACCCAGATCCAAGAAATGTAGTCTGAGCTAAAGGGTCTAAGTGATGGAGTCTATGGTTCCTTCCCATTTCCACCCCCATCTCTTATCTTCCATCCTACACTGCTGTTAAATAGGTCTTTTTGCTGCTCATTGTAGAGGTCAACTTCATTCCCACCTCAGGAGTCTGGCACTGGGTCTTTTTGCCTTGACTGCTCTTTCCCCAGCACCTCTGATCATAGTCCCTCATTCCCTCAAGTTTCTGCTCAAGTCATTCCTTAGAGAACTCCTTCTACCCATAAGGTAAATTTCTTTCAGAAGTCAATAGGCAGGAAGAAGGTTCTCTTGCCTCAAATTGCTGATCTTATATTTGTTGATTGTAACAAGGGAACAGTTTCCTCTGTTCTATGCTTTGGTGCAAGAAAACCTCTCACTAAAGTTTGTGATCTGCTTCATCAAGTAGCTTTAGCTTGGGCTCTCTTTAATACTTTTAATTGTAATTTAACTCATGCTATTCTATTCTCCTTTATGTCTTACAGATTTTTGTCTTTCATTGAACACAAACACAAAGTGCTTTATTTATCAATTAAATGTACAAGATTTTATCCACGGCCATCAATGGCTTGAACACAGCAAAATGTTTTGATGAATAAATAACGAAAACTGACAGGACATCTGGGAATTTTCAGGGACACTGGGGGGAAAGGCATTTGTTCCTACTGGATTCCTACAGACACTGAATTCCTACAGACACTGAAGCACAGGGCTGATAATACCTAAAGCATGGCAATTCTTTGCACTGATTGTCAATGATGATGATGGTCACATGAAAACTCTAATTAACCGTTAACTCCTAGATCCCACTGTTCTCCCAGTCACAAATGCCATTAAATAAAACCCCTTCAGGCAAATCGTGTCAACTAACCCCCCCAAGAAATAGAAACGGTTTTTACGGTTTAGGAGGTGCAAGAACAGGGTAGTCCAGAGTAATTGTGTGACAGAGAAAGGAGGGGCAGATGTTGTCAATATTATGGGCTGGATCACAGTAAAATCAGCAGCTCCGGTCCCAGGAAGGCAGCGCTGGGAGGAGGCGGGATCAGCCAGACCAGTCTCGGCCGCGTACCCCAGAGAAGAGAAGGGGAGGAGGCTGAGAACGACACTCTCACCTCTAACGCCGCCTGCGGGTCCTCTTCGATCAAAGCATCAGAGAAGCTCCGGAAAAACCTGCCGGGGAAAACAACGAATTAAGCAGGGATCGCTAACCAATAAAGGGGAGGAATAGAAATAAACAGCAAAGAGAAGGAAAAACACGTACCTCTGGGTTGTTGTAGGTCCTGCTGCGGCGGCCGCCATCCCTCACAGCTTCTGTTGTTGCTGCTGGAGTTGCTACAACCGAGCTTATAAGCTCTGCCGCCGCCCAAGGGGGAAACTTCTGGAGAAACACCAACCAAGCTTCCGTCCAAGAAGCCAACCAGCAGCCACGCAACGTGCCGCGCGGGGAGGGGCGATGAAACGTGGGCGCAAAGCGCGCTGGGACCGTGGAGGACCGACTCCTCCCTGCCAGCCCCTGTCCCGTGACCAGCGCGCACAGTCCCCGCCCCTCGCAGCCACGGTTACGGAGGCCCCAAATTTGTCTGGTCGCCTCTCTTCCACTAAACCCCCACACTTTAACGGAGCCTTAAGGGGTAGTAGCCTGAAAACACTTTTAAAACGTACTGTTTTTCCTAGGAAAATGTGGCGTTTGAGGACGCTAATAACACGAGTCTCAGTTCTTATCATGGCTACCCGAACAGTCCAGCCTTTTGTGAGCCAAGACGTCACACGCCGCTACGTGTTCTTTTTCTTGGGGGAGCTTCCGGCTGGCGCTGGGTCGATCCCAGGATCTTTGCGCTGGGAACCCTAACGGACTAGGACTCGCCGGAAGTCGTACTGCCCCGCAGAGGCTAGACAAGAAGAGGACTTTTGGTTCCGCGTGGATGTAATATTCCATTCCCCACAACTCCCCAGTTCCAGCTTTTCTTCCTGTCTTTCGTAATCGCTTGTGGAGAGCCTTTTCCTTCCGAAGTCGTTGAAAAGAGGACGGTACCCTAAAATTGCCTCAGTGCCGCTTTACTTTCCAGCGTAACCAGCCTAGCCCTGGCTCACTGCCCTTTAGCCCATGGAAATCAGAACTATCAGCAAGTTCCGCTGAAAGGTGCAGAAGTGAGTGGTTCAGTCAGTAACCAAGCAACAGAATTGAGTATTAACTACATAGAAAATATTAACTAAACTGAGGATCCAAAGATACTAATTCCTTAAGATGCTTAAACGACTTCTAAGTGTTAAAAGAAAGGTGTGTAGCAAGGAGTGACACTTATGAATATACATAGGGATGGATCCCTCAAAGTTATGATACATGAATCTCAGACTTTATGGATTAGAATTATGAAATGACGGAAATGGAAAAGCAAGTAGAATAGCAAATGTGTTAGAAAGCAATGTGAACTCTAAAATTGGTAGGGCCTATTTTCAAGTTAAGGAGAAGCACACTTGCTGCAGAGTTAGGCAAATGTTTGCTCATAAAGGGATGTGTGTGTTGTGCTGTGATAGTCTCCATGGCAGTAATAGTCAAATTTCCTTGGTTTTTAATATTTATTTATGTATGTATACAGAACTGGGGTACAGGCCAGAGGTATAGGGGCGATGAGAGGATTCACCAGAGACAGAGTGGGGAGCAGAACAGGCAGATTGACAAGTACA